GAGATTCAGCTCCAGTTTAGGACACTTATATTTAATTCTCAGAAAAAACAACACTCTAACCATATAGAAACTAACTAATAAAAAATCTACAGGAGAAAACTATAAAGGGAGCTTTGTGATCAATCTTAGTGAAGGCAGTCAAAGTGTCAAAGGAATTCCTTAAAGGAACAAAATCAAAGCAGGTAAGATATGGATGCCTCACATGAAAATGCAATGTTTTTACTATGATCTTCTTTATGTATTTTGTCTCAATAAGCCACAGTCTTTATTTCTATTCCTCATCTTAGTAAAAAACTGTTCATTTTTTAGTTTGAGCTACTCTTTATAATTGAAATCGAAATCAATATCTGAAAATACAGTTCATGGCAAAAAAGCAGCAACTTTGGACCCAAGTGCTGGGTTTTTTCAAACACACATAATGTTACAATCAAACTGCAGATATTTCCACTGTTGTGACTTATTCAACAAAACATTTCTGCTTCATTGAAGCAAAGAATGTGTTTATTTCCTGGAACATGTAGAAACTAGTTTCCCAAGCTTCACAGAATGGTATCCCTCCCCCATCCTGTTCCCTCTCAGCTTCCCATGCTCTTTGCTCTATGTCATGAAGACAAGCAGTAGTCCTGGAGAAGGAAGAATGATTTTGGCTGGACAACCTGTGAAATTTTTTATGGTGTAAAAAGTTATATTAGACAAAAAAACAGGACAAGTCTGTTGTTTAGGTGGCAGTTTGGCTATAAAATGCTCTCTTGGTGCCTAGGTGTTAATTTCCTCACTTCCTTGATTCTCGCAATTTATTCCAATTTAACTGTTTGTACAGTCAAGTTCTACACTGAATTTGCACATAACAGGGGAACACCACTGACTGGAGATTGGTCCAGAAAGGAAGTTCTAGGAACTATTTTTTTAATACATTTCGAAAAGTTCAATGTCACAGGCTCTTCGGCTTAGCAGAAACTCTGTCCAGAGACTAAAGGATTCTTGTGATTCTGGTGCTTTTCTGCATTTTCAATTGAACAATACAACAGTAACCACTCGTAAGAATAGCTGGCATAGCCAAGTCGATAAAAAATTCTATTACTTTAATTTTAATCCACCATCTTCTTATGGCCAAAAGATGATAAGGAATATGGTTTCTAATGGTTTTTGTTTGTTTGTTTGCTAAGACAGACTAGCTGAAAACATAATGCTTGTTCTAAGAAAACAATGGTAATTTTTGGAAAATCTTCTGCTCCTTACTTGAACTATTCCCTCATCTCTCCTTAACTTGTGCCACCACAAGTGTTCTGAGGTTAACAAACTGATTAGATTTAAAAATAACCTTAAAAAGGGTGTTATTTTGATTCTTTTTCTATCAGAGGGATTCACCATCTAGCTTACTTAACAGTTTCATTAATAGTGTAAGCATAACCATTGAGAAAGCACAACACTGTCCTGAGCAGACAGGAGAGTGAACTCTGCAAACATAAATTGGTGCTGAGAAGAAAGAATCACTGAACCATATCTACATCACTGTTTCACCACTTTTGGACAGTCTATGGTACCCTCTATTCCAGAAATTACATCTTTGATTGATTGGGTTTTCACTCTAATTCCCAAAACAAAGGAATCCTTTTCTGTCATTCAGTGGAGAAAAAAATGTCTTCAAGTGAAAAAAATGTCTTCATTTACAAAGTGAACATAAATAGTAATTTTAAAAACATGCTTTCATTTCTAATATTTAGATGCTGCCCCTGTACATAGGATTGGTATTTACAGTTTATTTACCTGAACTAAGTAAATTAAAATATAACTATATCATTGTGTATTTAATTTTCTGACATCCTAAAAACACACATAAGTCATTGTGTCCCCTTTAAAGTTTACACAAAGGTGATAGCAATTCTCCTGGCCTCTAATACTCTCTTTACTTTTTCATTATAGAATCCTTTCAACTTTGCCTCTAGCAATCCACAAACTCATTTTTTCATGAGTAAATATTTAAACCAGATCTGTTTTAAAATGTCTACTGAAAGAAGATAAAAGCAAGTATTTAGATTTACAGCTAACCGGGTAATAATCAACTGCTACTAGAAAGAACTCGATCCATGTCTGAGCTTTAACATGAACCTGTAGTCCAGGTAGGGGGCTGTGAGCTTTTGTGCCTTTATGGTAATGTTCTTAAGCAAACAAGAGATTGCCACACACCTCGCAGGACAATTAATTCATTGAAATGGGACATTTAAACTTTTCCTTTTCATCTGTAATACAAGAGTTAGCTGCACTAATATTTGACTTTCTGTTTCGCAGTGGAAAGAGAGAAGGATAAGAAAGGCAGAGAATTAGAACTTAGTTCTATGATCATTGAGAACTTGTCCCACACACTAATGGTCTGTCTCCATTTAAACTTCAAGTAGCACAGTCTTAACTATCAAAACACATTCATTATTGAAATAAAGTGCCAATATTTTCAGCATTAGGTGGGAAAGGTTTGCCTTCGCACACCGTTATTCATACTTCCTTACAGAATCATGTTTTTGTCTTGGTCTTAAATTTTCCCCCATCTGATGTTAAATAAAACTCAAAAGGATTTCAGTTCACTTAGCTCTATTGTAGAATAAACTTCCTAGGCTGTTCTGAGAAAGGTATGTACACTCTCCAAAACTGAGGCAGCTTATGTCAGAGGCCTGAAAACCAATACACAAATTCTGAAAAAAAGCTTTCTGAAAACCACAGTGACATATCGTAACTGTACTTCATGGTAGGATTTCGGTTATTTAGGATTTTAATGAGTGGTTAGTATGCAAATAACAAACATTTTAATGATTTCAAACTTGTTATTATTGCTTCTGTAAAAGCTAGAAATACTTGCCAATTCTCACAACTTCACTGTTACCACTTCTGTTACTTAGTCAATGGTTTTGTCACATCCATGAGAGTACAGCACAACACCATCTCTTATCTGGAATTTCCACTGCAGCTTGTGCCAGAGAAAATGCTCTTCTCCATGGGGTTGCCTGTTGCCTATTTAAAATTAGTAATAGCTTCCTAATGGTTCAGTTTAGGATCCAAGCTTAGGCTCAATTACAGAAGCCAAATCACTATAAACAAAACAATTCTGAGTTATTTTAAAAGACTTGGTAACTGTTCTTTCATCACTTTTAAAAAATAATAATTTGTGATTTTGAAAAATATGAAATAGACATGAGTCACTAACTACAGCCAAAGCAGAATGATAAGGGAGGTGATTTCTTCTTCCCTGTCTTCGATTGTGCCAGAGAACAGAATTCATGTTTGAAGAACATACTTTCTTAGAAGAAGGGAACAAACAAGAAAAGAGAAAAAAAAATGTATAAAACAAATTTATGAATTAGAGATCCCAGACAAGACGAAAAACTGTTGCACTTTAGATTTCACTAACTTTATTTGTAGATAAAAAGAGTGAAAACAGACAAAGGGGATAATACCTAATTTGCCCAACTGAAGGAATTAAAATACATGTATATATGAAATGGTCTGTTTGGGTTCAAAGTCTGTCTAGAAATACCTTCTGCAACTCATCAAATTTGAAGTGATTTGCTCCAGTAAGTCAAGATCAGCATTTCATTCTTGGCATCAAACCTGACGGTGTTTGATAGGAAGAACATACTTTCTAAACATTTTTAAGATATCATGTTGTCTACACTTCAAAAATAGCTGAACATTTCTGAATTTACTTTCAAGGCTTGTGTTGTACGTGGGCAGGAGTTACTGCTGAAAACACTGGAACTTATTTGACTTAGTCTTTTTACAGAAATCTGATTTACTGGTTTTGAATGTTGCAATCTTTAATAGTACAAGTTTTTATATGTGTGGTTTCCTGTCAATTTCTCTTATGGTTTGAGAGAATTTCATTATATACCTGAGATTCAGAATAATTTAATTTTCATTAAAGATTCTGTCTGAAAAATCAGGGTTTATAGGTTTATTACCCAAAAGGCACTAAAACTAGAATGGAAGCAAAAGAAGAAAATTTGGCTCATTCGAAAAAGACTAAGCAATATATGAAATGCTGAAGAATCCTTATTTCATTGAAGTTAATACAATATAAAACCATTGAAAATATGATTTTAATGCACAGTTCTATATTCTTGGTTCAATTTTAATTTTGCACAATTTTAAAAAAAATAATATATTTATAAGAAACAGTGTGTCTTTTTTAAAGTAGCATGAAGTATTTAAGGACATGACAATTTATTCTTTCTATAAACAACTGTTTCTGTTTGAAATAGGGGAAGAAACTCCTAAAACATAAATTCTCAGAAATAAACAAGTAAAGCCAAAGTTTTCCACATGATTATGCTGAATCATATTTATTTTTCATATTTTAAAGTAGATAGCAATAAATGCGAAAAGTACAAGTTACTCTTTTCATTGAATTATACACTTGATGGGATGTAGACCATCAACAGTCTTAGGAGAAGTAGCAACAAGGCTGCTGTTGCAGAATAAAGAGATTCTCACCTTTGAAGAGATTCTAATTCTCTCATTGGCAAAAAACAAGTAGAGAAGCCAATTACTTCTTCAGGTATATAGCAGTATAAAGATATTTATCTATATTGTTCTCTGTCATTGTAACCTTAGTAGAAAGGTTATTTTTAAAGATACCAACAAATTACCCTTCTGGGGTGTTCAGGAAAGGACTCATAGTTGTTGAGGCCTACTTGATAGTAGGCAGAGGGTCCAGGACAATTGCCTTTCTTTTGGCATTAAAACAGAAATGAAAAAATTAATATGACAACATCAGAAGTGGAGTCAAGACTCCCTGAACATGGGGTATGACAAAAATGTTTATTCCACAAGTAATTGGTCATTTCAGGGAACTTCTCAAAGATAGTATTGGATCTGTTGAAACGTTTTAACAAAATCATTTCCTAACAAAAAAATGAATTTTTAAAAGAATTCATAACTGTGACTGTCATTTTCTTTCCCAGGCTTTGAAGTTAAAAGAGAAAACACTCTAAAGCAAAACCATCACTCACAGTGAGGCTCATAGGGAGGAGGAGGATCACCACAAGGAACACACTCCATGTCTTGAAAGCCTCCAAGCTTAGTCTTCCTATAAAATCTAGAAGACAAAAGAACAAAAAAAACCCCCCAGTTAATCAAAACCAGTTTTTTTTTCCCCACAAAATTAATCAGGTGTTTTAACAAAATCTTCTATACTTGCAAATTTTGTCAATCTGTGCAAATTATTAGGAAATAGAAGAAAATAAAAGTAAACAAAATACAGTAGATATTAATTAATAGTGTAATAGCAGATCTAAAGTAAACTCAGGAAAAATCTAACTCTGTTAGTCCAAATGCATAGTAACTATAATCTTATGTTTACAGAAGAAATAAACAACTCTGGAGATTTCAGACAGAAATCAATATCCCGTTTTCCACATAGACCACAACATACATGACATGTATGAAGAAACTTACCTTATGAAAGCTTACTTACACATCTAAAAAATAAAAGGGAACTGTTTAATCTATATAATTCTCCAAAAATAAACAAGCTATTATAAGGTAATTATCACCATTAGCAATATATAATGGACCAGATGTCAGTGACATTTTATTCTAAAGACCCTTCAAGAACTTTATTACTGAGTTTATGTTTGAAGAGCTTACTGACTACAGTGATTGGCAAAACCCTACACTCCTAAAGCAGGGAACAAGAGTAGCAGCAAATAAAACCCCAAAACTTAAGAGTGTGATATTTCAAATCGGTATGTATGACATCCTCTAAAGAACTTATCTAGAGTAGGTCTGTCTGTCTTTCAACCAGTCACTAGTACTAAGGTAGAATCAGCAGCCGTGGCCTGTTCAAGATAAGTACATAAATTAAGTGTTTCTGTAGTGGTAGTGGCACATTAAAGAAAAGGTACTAACTCTAACTCTAGTGATGTTATATTACTAACACTGCAAATGCCATTAAAGTATGAAGTCTGTATCAGCTAAAGCAAACAGCTTTCCAACTGCTCAAGAAACCCATGCTTTAACAATGTGAACAGAAACAGATCCATAGGCTGCAAGACTGAAGGGGCCTCTGTGATCATTTACTCTGAATGAAATGTGTTAATATTTGGTTTTAGCTGACATGCTCACTGTAGTGTTTTGAAAGTGAACAATAGGGAATGGCATGTCGGAAACCCATGCAAAACAGAAATAAATATGATTGCTGATAAGTAGAACATTAGCTACACCATTTAGTTTGGCTAGATCTATCTTCCATTCACTTAGGCAGCATTTAAACTGAAGTATGCCACTCACAAGTATGAGTGGCAGTGTGTTCTACACTTCTGTTACCCAAAATGTCCAGACTAAATGACCTGTGACTACCCTTGCCATGAATGACTCTCTCCCTCCTCATGTTTCCAACTTTGCTGCCAGTAAATGCAGATTGTGGAAACAGCTCTCATTTTAATACACATTCAACACACATATCTAGAATGCATTCTAGACCAGAATATTGAGAAGCATTCCCAGGTCCTGCAGTTTAGGTTTGTCCTTAATTATGTTTTACTGTGGCTTTTATTTGTTCCTTTCTCATCTTCCAAAATTTATCTTACACTGTTTACAAAAGAAGAAAATCTTCTCCCTGCTGACAGCCAAGTAAGCCCTACCATATATGTATATTAATATGCAATAAAAGCATAAATCAATTCATCATGTGGCTGCAAGTAGTATCAAAAGTGGTTGTGAGTAACATCTAATGCCTGGGGCTGCACCTTCTTATACAGTGACTTAAACTAACATTAGTTACCAAAGCATTACTAAGTGTTTTTAAACGAAAAGACCTCATTTCTGGCTTAAGAAAGAATAACAGAAGGAGTTTCAACACTGTTCAGGTATTTGATAGCTAGTATTTAATAAATAATTAAATAAAACAGCTGAGATATATACATGAAACAAATATATGACCTTTTAAGCATGTCTGAAATATATACCCTGAAATTACAAAGGCTGTTATTGCAAATCAGTTCTCATAAACTACTCCCATCAATTAAATGACCAGTCAATAGTTCACAAAAGCATCAGAAATGCCTTTTTACAAATTTAATGCAGGTCTTTGTAATACCAGAACTTGGCCACAACGTAAAGAATAGTCTTTTAGAGATCTTGAAATTTAACACCACAAACACAGAAGATTAGCAACAGAGATCTGGGATTACTGGACAACAAATTCAGCCAGGATCATGCTCTACGAATTTATCAACATGGTGAAGTAAATTCAGGCACATAAACCACAGCCACTGCTTTTGACCTAAGAACATTTGTGCATGAGAATTATCGAGCATTGACCTAAGGAGGGGAAAAAACCCAAGTAAATAATGTGATCAGTTTTCAAGAAAGTAATTGTGTATGTTTAAAATATTTAATTCTTTATAACAATGAATTAAGACACCAGTAACACAATGTTTTGATGTATTTTGCTCGGATGCTGTATAGACGATACTCTCATAGACCGAGTAGGTAATTATCCAACCATTTTTATGGATGAGATAATTAAGACTGCAATTCTGAAATTAAGTGCTCAGATAATACAGTAAATTGTTGACAAGGCCAAGATTAGAACCTAGGACCTTCACACATACACAAAGAATACAATAATTTATCTGGAAAACATGAACAAGCAATTTTAATGCAAATTACTTTTGAATTTGTTCAAGTCTCATCTTCAGAAATGGGCTTACCCTGGTAAACACTCTCCACATAGTGCATTGCTGGTGGCAGAACAGTTGGCCTTCTGAAACCGGTTAACTAATGCACAATCCAGACAAGGCTTGCACTTCTGAAAGCCCCAGTCTTCCTTGAATCTGTTTGGCCTGCATGTCATGCACTGTGCATCCTCCCCATATCCAAAGCCGCATTCCTGTAGGGATTAACAAGCAATAGCAAGCTATTCAGTCACAGAAAGCCTGAACAAGAAGAAAATGCTGGGATAAAATGAAGACCTAGCGTAATTATTGCTGAGAGTAGGTCTCTCTTGAGACAAAAGCCATCCTTTCAGCAAGTTCAAATGTGTTTTCGACTGCTAATAATCTCCCTTACTTCTATAAGTAATACTTAGTCATCCACTTTATTCATGAAACCACTGTGTATTTGAATGATAAAGGGCTTCAAGGACTCCCACAGTTTCATTATTACTAGCTTATGGTAGAATTATTGAGCTGTCTGTTTTTTAATTAGGTCAGTCATGTGAAAGTGCAGAAACTGGGACAAGTGAAATATAAAGGCACTTAGTTACAAAAACAGCAAAGAAGCACTTTGATATTAAGGTTCATAGCTAAGGTGAACAAAGTTAATTGCCAAAGAGAGTGCACTGTTCTTCAAAGGCTTAGAATTTCTGTTACCAAATAAACCAGAGCTAGTTAACGACCATCTACTAGGCATGAAACGTTGCTTAGCCACTAAGAATTTCAGAAACTCGATCTGCTCCAGTCCTAACAGTTCTTAAACTGTTGGAAAAGTTCAACAGCTCTGCTGATCTGCATGACATTTTACTACATAAGGAATATTGTTATGGTTGGTTATTTATTCCAGATTTAGCTGTTTAAAGAAATTATTTCCATTCATTTGTAAAAGAACACCTAATACCACTGACAAGCTGCAAAGAAAAACACTTCACTCAACAATATGTAATAGTTTTTATCATCCAAATATCAAAATAATTTTTTTCAGTATTTTGGAGTTAAGATTTGACGCATTAGTGTCACACTGAAAAACAGCAAGAGGAATGCAACAAATTGCTGGAAAGGACTTACTGGGGAGGGAGTAGGTGGGAAAGGCACAACGTGGGGACCTTGTTCTTCAGTATGTGGTTTCAGTGGAAGAATAGGGAATTTTCCTAGTGGGGAAACTGCAGGTAATCTTCAACTTGAGCAACTTAAGAGAAGGTTTCCACAAGTTTCCACCACAACATATGCGTGTTTCATACATATAAACAACTTTTCCCTAAGTCACTGACCTAACCCAATCTGCTGCAGTAAAAAAGCTTTGAAACTTAGAAACACACAAGATTCTCCAAGGTTTTGCATTGAGAAAGCATCTATAGGACAAGCTCTGTGATGGAGTTGACCAATATGTATTTTATAGTGCTTCTACACTGAAATGATCAAGTAGCAATACACAACTTCAGATGTATTTTACTGGACATCTAAGAATTTTCTATTTTCTTTTATGTTAAGAATAACTTGACTCTCCTCTGAAGAACAAGTCCTCAAGTACACAGAAAATAAATAATTCTATGAAAGCAACTACAAATGGACACTAAAAATAGTCTTCCTCCTCTGTCTCTAGACCTAGAAACACAACAAGTTTTAATTTTTGGTTTGCTTTCTTTAGCTGAAATGTAGTTTATTACTCAGTCAAACGATGTATATTCAGATCTTTTGATAAATCACTTGGAATCAGTCCCTCCCAAGTTCCTAGCAAACTTTCAAATATAAGGCTTAAATTAACTTAATTATAAGTTTTCCTTTCTGGACTACCTTTGAAGCTTCTGATCAAAACCAAGCAGGAAATAAAAGTTAGAATTAAATTCCTTCACTCTCTGGCCCAAACTACCAAAGCTTGAGTAAATTGTTTCTAGATCAGATCTGCTTTGCTATAGCTGGATGTATGGACACATCTTAGTGGTCCTTTATATCATGGAATGGTTTACTTAAAAACTATAAAAATGGTGGATGAAATATAAAGAAATCTTCTGCCCAACGAATTTACAATCCCCAGTCTTTTCAAAGACGGCTTCCAAGTCCTTGCCAAGAATTCTTCAGATACAATCCATAACAACTAAAACTTATGTATGTGCTTTTTATGTTCACATAATATTTGAGGTAGTTAACTGCCTGGCAGGTGCAAATAAATATTTAAGCTTGTAAACCAGGCAGAACTTCAAACAGATCTGTATTCATAATTAACCACATTCCCCAAACTGAAGGATATGATTTAGATGATGGATTCAAACTCTTTGAAATCTTGGACTTTATAATTTAGTAGTCCAGCAAAGATACAAACAATTGACTGTTCATCTTTTATCAGTACATGTGCAAAACTGATGTGCACCATTTTTTTCAGTGCTCTATTTACAAAGCGGTCAAGTTATATGGCTGATGAGATCTGAATAGTTCCCAACTCCCCTCATCCCTTCTATCCTCCCACTCATATTTTTACAAGAGAGCTCATCTCCTGTGGCAGTTCACCTCAGGACTGCAGAAAAGAGAAATAAAACCTGTAACATCAATTAGCTAGATTTCAAAATAACATTTTTTATTTTTGTGCCAGAAAAAAAGAGCACATAAATATATGCTGTCTTTGTTCTTCATATTGTGAAGCTTTCTGTGAAGAACACTTAGCACGCTCTCCCCTTTCCACTTTCACTTTTCCATGGTACCAGGTAACATTAACAAAAAATTTCTCTCTCAAATGACACATAGCACAAGCCATGAGATGTGAAACACTAATTTAGACAACTGCCATTAAAATTAATTAAAAAAAAAAAAATCTTCAAAATTCAAATGCATCTCTATTTTCTCAATACCTATAGAGCTTTCACTATCAGAGTACTGTGACATCTCATTACCTTTAACATATGTATCTCCAGAACATTTTTTCTCAGAAACATACTTCAAGTATCAAGTGGGGTGACTGGTCAAGAACACCTAGGAATCTGTAGCAAGGTAGTTAACTAAATGCATAATTTAGTTTCAAGCTAAAAATACTGAAAGCATAGAATAATACAGACACCTCAAAGTACTACCATGGCACTGTTAAAATTTTCTTTCAGTAGATACTATCCAAACACTCATTCAGACAGAACAACTAAAAGTATAGCAGACTACAAAAGGTAATGGAGTTAAGTGGTATGGTTTTCCCCTACAAGTTGAATCCAACAGAGAAAGTAAATGAACAGTAAATTAGATTTTAAACATTCTTTCAATTAAAATAACCTCATATTTCATTAAAAAAATGCTTTCGGGCACCATTAAGATCATAATCTGCAAGCACATTTTAGAATTTGTTTCTAGTTTCACTGATTATCCACAACCTACGTAAGTCCTTAGACAACTGAGCACAGAAAGTTCTACTTAGGCCATGATGACTAGAAGAATATTTGGGTATTCAAGAAAAAGTCTTCCAGGCATTAAGACACTTCTAACTGATGTCAGGTCATGTAACAGGTTGCAGCACTACACTGGTGCTGGGAAATGAAGTCTTTACTAATACCTTTGAGTACATGGCCTTGTTAAATAGCATGGGATTTTAGCTTCCTGAAGTACCACAGGCTGTGGATCAACCTCATCTAGAATCCAATAATAAGCTGTATCTATCTGCAGAGGTCTCTGAGCAGGACAGGCTGCAACAGCGTGCTGCATACATGTCAGACTTAGCTGCTGTGGCAAACTGCAAGGTTAGGGTCAGAAAAGTTTCATTTTTAGTGAGTAAGATTCAACATGCCTACAGGAAGCTCATTGAGTTTCTATGGGACTTCCTAACATGCTAACATGCGTTAGCCTCTCCTGAGCTGAGATATGGCAGGGCTTCCTCAAAAGCAGCTCTCTTGCTGCTTGTTAAAAGAGTGACTGCTAAACATGGTTGCAGCTGCTCTCGGTAACTCCACTGGGACAACATGTCAATCATGGCATACCACTGCTCATGTTACAGAGGTGCATGAGGATTGTTACATTCAGGAGTAGTTTCCAACAGTACCTGCCTGTTTAATTCACAATTCCTTTTTCTGAGACAACATGCAGGTCTCCTCTTTCTTCATCATATACCTGGTACAAGGAAGCAACCTGTGATACATAGCCCTGCCTTAGCAGCCATCAAGCTGCCTCTGTCCCACTGGCTCTCTACAGCAGTGGTCTCTTGGTGACAATATTTATCATGACTTATGTGGTGGCAATGCTGGCTTAAAGCACTCTCCCTCTTGCTTTTTCTTCCTTCCTTGTCATATATTGTCAATATAAATTCTGAGTTGCAATGTAAGCTTGACAAAGCTGATATATGGATTGCTTTTACATATGTACAAATATATACATACATATAAATTTTAAAAAGACATGGAAGCCATAGAGTTACCCAACTTTTTTTTAAGAAAAGCAAATGAAAGGACCCAAAGGACTCTCATTTCCATACTTCAACATTTTCAAGAAAAAGGCTGAAATCCAAACGATCCCAGTTTCTTTTTTCTGCATTAACTGTGATTTGTATAAATTTGAATCATATACAAAGTTTGATTTAATTCAAAAACACATACAAGACAGGACAAAAGGCTCTTGCTACCAAGCCACACCAATCACTATTCATGCACTGGCAAATTGAAGCCACTTAAAGAATGAAAGATATTAAATCACTCGCTTGACTACATGATGCTTTGCTTCCTATTAAATGAATGATAAATGAAATAATGGTGAGCCACATGAAGCAAACACTTCCTTTCGAATCAATACAATCATTTTAGTCTCCCACCCCAGAAAAAAAGTACTGCTTAACAACAACAACAAAACAACAACAAAACCCCAAAAAAGCCAAACAAAAAACAACTCGTAACAAAAACCCCACACAGTCAAAAGCAAGCTACTTCAGTGGTTCAAAGGTTTTGCAAAGATTACCAAGGACAGATGTTTATGAGAAGAAAAGGTTATAGAGAGATTTTTCTTTTTTTAAATGAACAAATAAAAGCAAACAAACATGAGAAGTAGCTTTCACTCCCTTCCCCATCAATTCTAAATTGTTGATACACTAACAAAGCTGGTTTTCTTCTGATGGCAATGTGTTAAAAGTACTTTATAAAAAATACAATCAACCTAAGTGATCAGTGGATTTTATTTCTAAGCTAATGCAACATCTGCAGTGTTGTTGTTAGAACAGCTGATAGGGAATCAGAAAGGAAAAGTTGAGGGTGTACTATTTTTTCTTATTTCAAGGAAGAAAAAGTTACTATAAAAACATTTTTGAAAAGGAGAGCCCCACTAAACTGTGACAGCAAAAGCTGAAAAGGATAGTCTAGATTCAGAACTAGTTACATGAAATAAGGCTGGATTTTTGGTGGTTTGGTTTACTTTTGTTTCATGCTATCAAGGGTGTCTGGAATTGCTTCTCTTTTACAGACAGGAAAGTCAATTGAATTGGTTGAGCATTGGTTTGCAACTAATATTAAACACTCGTCATAGAATCACAGAACAGCCAAGTGAGTGGGAACATTGAAAGAACACCTGTTTCACAGTTTCTTGGGTCAGGGACCTGAACTGAGATGATCTTGCACCCTGTCCAATAGCATCCTAAAAACTTTCAGTGATGGGCATTCTACTATGTTCCTGGGGAGGTTGTCGCAGTGAATTTTTTCTCTTTGTAAAAAAGTTCATTCTAATATAGAAATAAAACCTGCCTCCTGGTACAACTTGCACTCATTGCCTCTTGTCTTGTCCATGTGGTGCCTCGTGAAGAGAGAGCTTCTGTCCTGTTGTTCCATTCTATGGCCTCTGTCTACTCTGTTCCACCAAAAAATTCCTGCATTTCCATGGGCAAGTTGATTTATGTGCGTCTCATGTATAAATTGAGAAAAGGCAACAGCATTTCCCCAACTTACAGAGGTATGAAATGTTCACATAGTATAGCAACAAAGGTCATATATGTATTACTGAAGTTGTAAAAAAAAAGTATATATACACACAAATACATAAATCCACTCTGTACAGGTGGTATTTTGTCTTATATTTTTGTGTAGCTACTTATAACAAGAAAAAAATCTACATATTTAAATTATAACTAAGATGAAGTAGTTTCTCATAAACAAGAGCAAAGTGAGGGTTCTGCAGTTGAGTCCTTGACATTGGACCTGTCTGCTTCAATTTAACGAGCAGGAGAAGTTCTACCAGAACTGAGTTTCAAGGGAAGGAATTAAGGACATATGTTTACATCAATGGTTCACATGGTCCACTGCTACATGACCCAATAGCTGGCCTTTTACATTCAACAATATAGGCTGAGATGTTTTGTTACAAACAAAAGAGAAACTTGTCTGTCAATTGCTTAAAACATTCAGGGGGAACTGAACCAAAAAAACCTACCGCTAACATCACTATATACTTAGACATACAATCATGCTCACATATCCAGCAGTATATCTGGTTTTATCCATGAGCACTAAATATTTGACAGGAAAACAGACACATTACACAGTATTAAGAAGCTGTTATTAAACTACAGCATGATTACATCATTGCTTTCTCATATGTAAAAAACCCAAGCAAACAAAACTCCTCTTGTGCTGCAAATTACTTCAAGTATAATATTAAATCCCTTTTCCCCTTACATTCTGACCTTTAACTTAACATACTTGTTGCTTCAAGCTGTAGCTCTGCAAGACTCCTTTCAAACACATTTCAGTAACAGCCACAGCATCACATCCTTCGCTATGATTCACAGAAAATTGTATCTCTCTTTATAAAGGAAATTATGCTTCCATTCATATTTAGGTTTGAGCAAAATCTCTTTACTTATTTCAGTTCTAGTGTAGTAGAAAAAGTATTTTTGGAAGTCTAATAATGTCTGGGAGAAGTAATTGCCTACACAGTAAAATTGATAAAGCATTCATATTTTAAGTCCTCAGAATCAGGACTAACAGCTGAAGTAAAAACATAACTTGAATAGTGTACTACTGCAAACTGCAACCTCCCTGTTTTAGTTTAGCGTTCCTTTATTAAATTGGGAATAATTACTGAAGGTATTAGTTTTTATGCTTTTGTTTTTTATTTGCCAGTTAGTTAAGTAAGCTTCATCAATGGACATAGTACTGGCCCACTGTTATAAAGTGCCATATTTACAAGTGCCTTTATAAATTAAAACACCTCCCAGAACCTTTGAGTTCACAAATTTAAAGACAATCTGAAAAAACCAAAACATCCAAACAAAACCTCATCTATGTTGTAAGTCATGTTCAAATCTCTGCTTCAACAGCACTGCTTGCATGACTAAACCTTAACTAATACCGCCTGACATAAAAAGCAATTCTCACTAAAGTGCGAAACTAAGTATTCTGTTAATGCACTGAACACTCGCCACAGGGGGTGGAGAGATAGGGAAAATGTGCCACTCAATTTCAGTAAATCCCTTCAAACTATACACAAAACCAATACTTGTGCTTTTTTTCAGAGCTGAATATAGGAAGAAATACAAAGCCATAAACTGAAAGCTAGCTGTAGTTTGAACACAAATACACGCTAGACTTAGTAATGGCTCACATTAAATTTACAAAACATTTTAAATTCCCCTAAACACCCTAAATTCCACCTCTAACATCCTTTCTACACTATTAGTAGAAGTACAATACAGAGTTTGCCCTTCTATATGCAAAGGGTATGTGCTTTATGGCCCCACCTATCAATTGTGGATCCGACTGTACAGTTATGTCTTAGTCACAGCTTTACACTCAAGAGATGGACAAGATGTAGTTTAGTGGCTGGACACTGATGAAAGATTCTTATGCTTATGCATGAGTCTTGACAGGATTGCTCACCCTTCATGATATCACCCTGCACTCTTTTGCCTGACCATCTTCACACCTCTAGCACGACACACCTGCTCCCCCAAAACACCTAATCTCCCCAGACACATAACTTATTCTGTTGTCTCTTTCACCTCCAGTAATTGAGTTAGTGAATCCCAACATATCCCTGCCTCCTCCTTTCAGCTATGTCTTCCTTCATTGTTCTCCATCCTTGTTCATACACAGCATCTACTTCCTCTGCGTTGAAAACAACTAAGATCCCTCTCATGACTTGCACACAGACTTGAAATTTTGCTGAAAATTTTGCAAAGTGAACCATAACCTCAGTCAGCATTCATCTCCATTGATTCATTTTTGCTCTCCTAAAAAACCTGGTAACTCCAAAACTTTTATGGGGATTTTCTTTTGGAAGAGATGGAGTTGTTATAAAAGCAAAAAACAATTACATAAAACTCAAAATAATAATACTTCCTTCTCCATGACATTAACAAGGACTTCTTATGTGCTTTCTAAATATTATCATGTATTTTTCTGGCCTCAAATTTCTTTACGTGCAATACAGACAGGAATTAGGTTTATAGCAATTTTTAGTAATTTGTACAACACAGAAATTGAGCATGACTTGACTCTAGCTTCCCAAAGTGCTCTAACCACTGACCTAGTAAAAACAGAACAATCACCTATCTCTGACCTCTTCTAAGGAAATATGTCAGCTCTCACTTGAATCTTACCCTGTATTTATGTACTTTTGACCTCATTTTTATTATAAATCATTCTGTTAAGACAAGCTGTCATATAGAAAATATTTAAACATTGTCACCTAAAATCCAAAACCAATTGTGAATGCCAGCATTGCAAAAATTAAGCCCCCCCTCCCCATTTCAGTAGTCTGTACCAATCACTAGTTTGAAATTTGGTTTTCATATTCTTCTCTACACAGTGAGGTTATTCAGTCTTAACTTGTTGTAGACTTTTTCCCCTTTGTAGCACTAACTCACCCTTGAAAAAATAATTTGAGAGCCCATGGTACTGTCTACTTTATTAATGGCATCACCATTTTCTGAACTGAGCATTTTATATAAAGAGAACCAGACAACACAGTTCTTGAAAAACTGTAAAAGGCTCAAATGCCAAAACAGTAATAATAAAGTATTTCCACATAAGTACAGATCTCCACTATTTTAAACCACATACATAAACACACTTATCAGAAACAAAGTAAATTGCAGAAAGCATGATTTCCTTACCTTTGAGAGTTCCATTCCAGGCCCACACTGTTTGCAGAGGATACAGTTTCCAGTCTGGTCCCTAAATTCTTGCTCTCTGCAGTCTCCAGTCTCACAAATTACCCTACTTAGCTAAAAAAAACCACCAAAACCCAAAAAGGTAAAATCATCAAAATGTATTAAATCTGAGAAGTAAATTCATGTTTTGATCTTAAAAATAAGTCTCTGCATTATCAAAAACTTTAAATATGGCCATGAAAATTAATTATCTAACTCCAAATATGACTAAGTGGCCTGAAAATTAAAGGGTCTCAGTACTCAGTGACTTGCAAGAATTTTACAGTTTTCAGAAGACTCACTTGATATTTGGCACCTGTGGAATGTTAAAATACTTTATTGTTTGAACATGGGTTAAGTTTCTCACCTTCACTTTAAGAAAAATGCACATGACCATTTACTAAAGCAATTTTCATGACAGTGAGCTACATCACATCCTCTTTAATTGTGTCATTTATTTGTGATTTTTAATTTTTCTAATGATGCTACAACAATTGAATAAATGAGGTAAAACCTATTCCATTAAACATATGTATTGACAAATTTTAAAAGATCACTCATACCTTTTGGAAATTTAAAAAAAACCAAACCCAAACCTGTATGAATACTATTTATTTTAAATTTTACTATCACTTTCTATTTAATGGGCCAAATGAGAGAGAATCCAATTATCTGACTAAGTCAGAAGCTACAGTTATAAGAAATACCACAAGTAGTAATATCAGCCATGCAAAGTCACTGGAATTTTACCCAGGAATATTAGCAAACCCTGTGAGCTCCCTGAATAGAATTTTAAATTAAATATTTACATAGGGGCATCCACCACAGAAAGTGTTCGCCACAACCGCTACTAAATTCTTACTTTGCGTATTGGTCTTTTCAGAAAGACCAAAGCCTTTCTGGTAGCTATGAAGAATTAATTACCTTGCCTATGCAAGCCAGAGTAAAGTACACTTAGTAGACAATGTAGTTGTGTCCTATGCTATATTCTGTCGATAAACTGAATACTCCAAACTCATAAATTATGTATATAGCATTCTGTAAAATGAGGTGGTCACTGCAAATTCCTACCATCCTGGAAGTGAAGCAGTACCACCTTCACAGCACTACACTGGCCTCTATGTTCTGTCCTAGTCCACTCCTTTGTCCATGAAGAGTCTCACAAGGTAAAATTTCACAATTGCATGTGAGAAGGAGCAAGGAATTACACAAATCAGTTGACCAAGCTTACTTTCAAATCAGTAAAATGTGTATGCAATTGTCTGCATAAAGCATTTTAAGACTTTCAGTGTTAGCAGTTATGTGTAAAACAAAAGACACAATTTCTGAGTTCAAAACAGTTTTTTTTCAACAAAGGGAAAAAAATGTTAATTTTTAACTTACCAAATATGCTAGTAAAATTACGAGCATCTTCAGTTTATCATCTCCTTGTAATCCTTTGGCATCCATTTCTTACAATTAAACCTTTCTCCCTAGAAAAAAATATAAAAAGGAAAAAAAAAGGAAAAAATAATTATATTTACATTGTTTAAACTTAAATGGCAGAAGTCACAAGTCCATAACACTTCACATCACTCAGCACATCAAAATATATACTGTCAATGCCATTAACATATTTCAGATGGCTCCCTGGAAGCTGCTAAACAACAAATATAGGCTTTAAAAATCATATTCCTTTTAAAGGCAAGACAATAAACACAAAGTTTCTATAGCTTTAATTCTCAAAAGAAGAGACTGCTATCAGTCTAGATTAGAGAACATTAACATTTGTAAATCTAACATCCCTAACATATCTTTCTTGCTTGTTAGACGCCCAGTCAAGTACATGATCAACAGACAAAAATAAATTTCTTCAGATATGCCACAAGACATAGCTGTTCATGAGAATGTTCCTTCTGTATTGCAATGTCCAGCAGAATGGGTTTGCCTAGTAACTAACATAACCTCTTCTTACTTCATTCTGCAAGCCACTGGAGGCATACACAAGATCTGTTTCTACAACCTACCTAAAGGATACTATTTCTAAAGATGTGTTACAATGACTGTTTAGGATCTGGTAAGCAAACACTATTATAGAAGACATTTCAGATAGCATAACTAAATTACATCCTGTCTCAGACAATTTTAATCATAATCTCAGAAAAGAAGAAAAAAATGGATCATAAAGCCTTGCTTAATTATTTTTTAAGAAGCGGTAATGAACAAATGATTACCAAAAAAGGAGTTATTTGAAACAATTATGGAAAGGAAGTTCTAGATTGGGATGTTTTGCTGGATTATTACATCAACAAACTGCATCCCCACAATTATTAAGAATATTGTGCCTGGACAACAGAACATTTTTTCTCTGCTTACTTTCCTTTTGGTTATTGAATTATTTGTGTTAAAAGTCCAGTTTCTTACTTTTTGGTTTTGTCAGTAACCTGGAAATGCAACTGTAAATTTTAGTTCTGAAATTTAACAATAACAAGAAAAGAATTAATAAATCCACCTTACAAAACAGAGTATTTGAATTGGATCCTAATATACCTAATATGACAGTTGTATAATATAATGACGTGAAAATTAATGTTTAAAACATTTCTGGCTTAGTTTAGAGCCTAAGGACTGATGTTTAATTATGGCGTTTTAAAAGACAAAATAAGAAATTTTTACAATTTAAGAGTAAAGACTGACAAATGAAAGGATGAAACTCAAAACATAAAGAAAATACTACAGAAAAATATTAAGAACAGCTGCAAAATGCTTTACAACATTGAACTATTGCAATAATATGCTTCCAAATATATACAACCAGAATGAGCATAAGCTATAATTAACACACAATTTCACATTTTACTGCATGAATACCCTAGTTAACAAATTCTAATCAATAAGAAGAAAGTATACTTCAGTGGCATTATTGATATCTTTTAAGATAAGTTGTATTTTCAAATGCAAAAAGAGCTAAAGTCTCTGAGGAAGAACAGAACAGGCAAAGAGATGTGTCACACAGCACTCTATGGGAAAGCCAAGCTTACATTTTTATGGTTATTCTCACTTAGTGATGGTAATGGCCCATAGGCCAATGACAATTATCAGATTATATGCATGCTATCGTGGGTAAAAAAAGAAGACATTCTATCAAGTAATACAAATAAATACAGATATAGTATTCAACATAGGTTGCTTTTTTAAGTCTGAGAAAAAAAATAAGGCAAGAAACATGAAATGGAAAATCTCAGAATTAATTCCGGATGACCGAAACACAACAATTTCATCTAAAAAGTACTGTAGAACAAGTAGAAAAATGAAAAATGAGAGTCAACAAATTTTAAAAGTTATTAAGTGTGCAAGGTTGTCATGAGAAGTTGACAATGCTAATGCTGAAAAAAATTAGGCATATTAGGAACAAAACAATTTCTAGTAATAGCAAAGTCCAAACAGTGGACAGAGTAGCAGGAAAAATACTTTTAAGGGAACTCGGAAGCTGCAAGAAATATTTCTCATCTATTTTTTGAAAGATACCAAATGGGTAAATACACACATCATATATTATATCTACTGGCCAAAAAGTAACTGAGTATCTGCTAAGTAGAAAAAGATTAGATAAGAGACAAATTGTGAGACTTTGCACCTCAGTAACCTTGAAAAAAGTATCAAGAAAGTTTTTATCTTGATCATGTTCAATTTTGCTATTCATTCCCTTTCAAATGCTACAGAAATTCAAGAGTGGTAATGTCATGAAAAAGTTAAAACTAAGAACAGTAATACAACAAAACAATTCTTTCCTGTATTACAGTAAAGCAGTCCTGTAAAACAAACTTGACTTCACTTGATTCGGAGAAGACAAGCTAAAAGCCTAAAAGCTAAATGAAATAAACTGATTGAACTTAATTTAAAGAATCATGCTGAAATTAATGGGATTTGGGAGAAAAATCCACATTAACTTCTTGATTTCATTTAGCAGCAGTGGAAAAAATAAATACTTCATATGCTTTGTTAATTGCTATAGGAGTTAAAACTTTACAGAAGTATGAAGTGAAATAAAGCTATAAATGTAACTGAGTTGCTTAGAATTGAACGTCAAGTGATTATTCCAAGTCATATCAATTTATAGTCATTATATTCCTTAGTAATAAATATGTAAAATATGGTACAGTTCTAATGTACTTATGCAATTATGACCATCTATAAAATACTACCAAAATTTCAAAAGTAGGATTCTTCCTAAGGTTAAAAGTATGTTTTATTGTAAATGTCAATATTTTCTTTTGCTTCTGAAAATAGATGTGTGACATATCAAAAAGAAATTGAAGATTGTAATAACTGTATATTTTTATGCCAAGTTTCATATGGAATTGTCAATACAAACAATACCGGTGAGCTATACTAAGCCTAATGATCTAAAATATGGAGCTGTAGCAAAATCTAAGCAGGTTACCTGAAGTATGGAAAACTAAAGAAAATTAAGAACAGCCCAAATAACTTCCGAGCAGATTAGTTATTTCCAATAAAACTATATTAGCTTTGTGTAATAAAGGCATATTAATCCTATGCCTTTTTTCCAATATGCAATAACCTGATGATTTAATATTGGTAAAAAAAAAATCAGTATATAAACAATTTATTAAAATCAATATTGAAACTAAGCTAATTATGTACTTTCATGTTTTTAATATGCGGCAGTCACAACTGCAATAAAAAACAAGTCCTTAACAGAAGGTAGTACAGAATCAGGAGCAGTATTAAAAATCTTATTGGTCACGCTGACAGCTTGTATTTCAATTTTGGAATTGCCACATATTTACAAGATGATCTTGTCATAGTATGTATCTCAAAGACTTTTAGAACACAGAAAACACATGGTAAAGCATCCTGTTGACTTAGGTGTGAAATTTTATTGCACCTGTGAAATATTTTCTATTTAAAATAAAATCTGCTGCCTTTATAACACTCTTGCCAAATCCAACACCTTAAATCATCAGGAGTTCCACAACCCAGAGTAAATTTTCAAAATCAAGTGTTTTAGAACTAGCATCGACTATTATGGACTTCAACTTATCTATACACTTTATTAAGCTCAATTTTTTGACTGATCGTTAAGAGTTTGATGCAATCTTGTAGCTTTAGGTCTAGGATGTATCTTCTTTAATCAACAAATATTCCAAAAGAAGCTTGCAGGTCTATGGACCTTAAACATCAGTGCACTTCAGTAGGTTTAGCACCAAAACATGTTCAAATAACTTCAGCCTGTGGTATTGGACCATGCCATGATCATGCCCATTGCCACCATTCCTACTAAAAAATCACTTAAGACTATATACTGATTATAACCTAAAAGAAAGAAATAAACCAGTGTACAAGAAATGATCATTGTTGAGAGCACAAAAAAATGTTTCTGTCATTACGACATTTTCATAAAAATAATGCAAAGGCACATTAATGGTTAAGGCACATTAATAACTCATTGTATTGAAAGCAAGGCCCAAAGGAGCTATAACTGTGCCAGCTCCATGTTTCCTGTTTCTATCTCCAGTTTGGTCAGAAGTCCTGCTTAAAAAGCAGACACTGCAGCACTTCAAAATATGTTGCCATTGGGCAAATTTGTTCTCTCATGATATCAAGTGGCATTACACTGATGTCTGTTGGACACAAGCCATTCACCTCATATGCTTTCAATAAGATCTAGAACAAGTTTGTGCTTCTAAAATACGTGTGAGCAAACACAGGTTAAAGATTATTTATTCTTGTCCAGATACTGATATTTAAAATGCTTCAGTTATCTTCAATTTTATTAAAAGAAAGAAAACTGCGGACATAGTTTTTTGAGGTCAGTACATCATTCAAAATACATCTTATTAGGTTAAGAGTAATATGCTTGCTCCCTAGTAATACTAGGGAAAAGCAATCATCATTTGTAATGTACTGAACTCAGGAGAGAGAACTTGCATTAAGAAATGTGATTGCATAATTTTAAGGTAGTGTGGGGCCTACTTTGCATATCAAACAATAGGGCAATATCAAACAATAAGTTAAGAATATGCAATAAATACATTGCAGAAGTGAGAACTTCGAGCCTTTCAGGGTTCCAGAATCTGCACTCCTCCAAAATTTACTGCTATGTTTACTTGCTTGCCTGAGCAGTAGTCATCATTATATTTCAAAGTCCATGTCAGAAAAATATTTCTTCTTTCTCTCCAAAAAAATTAAAGTTCCACCATGAAAGACACACCACCTCAAGAATTAAAGCAGTATGATTAAATTATGGCTAACTAGCAGGTTTCTCACACATAAAAGAATTGAAACTTTGAATTTAACATCATCCATCTTCTAAGGGAAACTTCAGAAAGGGTAAAGCATCCCAACTTGAAATTCACTTAACTTTCCTAGGTCTTATAAGTTTCCTGTATTAGATTTGATACACATACTTGACAACCACTTTTCATGCTCTCTATGACACTGGCAAGGAGTACTCTGACAAGTTCTGGAT